TGGATTCTTGCATCCGTGGTACTATTTTTAAAAATCATATTTTTTCAACGTTTGCAATTAATTTATTATGGTGGGTATGGAAGGTTGATGCAGTTGTTTACTTAGTTGATGCCTACGACAAGGAAAGGTTTGCCGAGTCGAAGAAAGAGTTAGATGCTCTATTATCAGACGAGTCCCTGGCTAATGTCCCGTTTTTGATCTTGGGCAACAAAATCGATATCCCTTATGCTGCTTCTGAAGATGAGCTGCGTTACCACTTGGGCCTGACGAGCCTCACTACAGGTAAGGGGAAGGTCAACTTGGCTGACTCAAATGTTCGCCCGATCGAGGTATTCATGTGCAGCATTGTTCGTAAGATGGGCTATGGTGATGGCTTCAAATGGGTCTCTCAGTATATCAAGTAATAATTACATGTCCGTTAGTCCCCGACAAAACGCTTTGTGTTTTTCTTTTAATTTTTTTGCTTTATTTTGGGATTTTCTGTGAGATGATGGTTCTTTTTTGCATATTTGTTATTTGGATTATTCATACAATAGCTGTTTGAAAATTTTGACTGCTGTTTTAGAACCTTACATATTCTTGGCATGTTGTTGAGATTCAGAGTTTTCATGATTTTTTTTTTTGGGCCCTAAAAAACCCCAATCTCCAAATTTTCGTATTTATTGATCAAAGCTGAATTTAGTTAGGTTTGTTCTTGCATTTTATTTCGGCATTTTATTTAACTCAAGTTTTAATTTTCAAAGTCAATACTGAAAATTTTCTTTTATTTATTTATTTATTGTATTATTATTTACTGGTGTATAACATTACAACTTATACCATCCCTTTCATAATATCACAAAATTTTGTTACCATCTCCATAGCTTACATTGTCATCAGGACTAGACACAAGTAAAAGATTTCTAATACCTCTCAAGTCTCAATACATTCACAAATTTATACCTCAGTTGGATTCACATAACAAAAACATCACGGCTTTCACCTTTCGATGTACAAGTTCCGCCAGCTCCATAGGCGCCAAAGAATCCTGAAACTCGACCACAGAGCAATAAAACCAGCACGAGAAAGGAGGATTCTTTCTTGTATATACTCAAACTCGACCACAAAGCAAAAAACCAGGAGGATTCTTAGTACACAATCACTCAACCATAGTCCTGTTAATCAAACGAGCCTGGCTCAGCTCAAGCTTGGCTCGGCTCGGCTTGAATTTGACTCGACTCGTTTAGTTTGAGCTCATTTAAAGCTTGTTTGGTTAACGAAACGAACTCGACTCGACTCGATAAGGCTCGAAAAGAGAATTTTTATAGTTCGGTTCGTTAAAGTTCGGGATTGGCTCGTTAAGGCTCGAACTACATGCCTACTCAACCACGCTCTGGCCCACGGTTTTCTCAACACAATTCTTTCTCATCCGGGCCCGAACCTCCTCGACCCCAGTCCACACGCCTCTGTCCGCATACATATTGGACAACAAAACATAGTTCCCCGAGTTCCACGGCTCAAGCTTGATAAGCTCGTTTAACGCACGCTCGGCAATCTCCTTTTCCCCACTCGCCCGGCACCCACTCAACAAAGCACTCCACAAGGCGGCACTCGGCTCAACCACCGCCATTCCCCTTATCAAATCATAAGCTTCCCTTACACATCCAACTCGGCCAAGCAAGTCGACCATGCAACCATAATGCTCGACTTTCGGCTCCACAATCGAACCAAAAATATCCTTACCCGTTTGAACCAACCCGGCGTGCACGCAACAAGTCAAGACCCCAACATAAGTCGAGTCGTTAGGGTTTATGCCCCCTGATGCCTTCATCTCCTCAAACAACTTGATCCCATGCTTACATTCTCCATTCAAACCCAAGCCCAAGATCATCGTGTTATAAGAAATCACGTTTTTACGAGGCATGCGCTCGAAAAGCTCGAGGGCCCGCTCGATATCCCCACACTTGGAGTAGAAATCTAAGAGCGAATTCCCCACCTGCACGGATTTCAGGGAGAGCCCGCTCGACTCAGCGTACGAGTGGACCCATTTCCCAATGTCGATTTTGCCCAATCGAGCGCACGTGGGAAGTATCACTGCTAACGTGGCCTCGTCTGGCGTGCAGTTCATAGTAGTCATCTCCCGAAAAAGCTCCAAAGCATCCTTGTCCCTGTTGCCCTGTGCCAGACAGGAGATCATGGTGTTCCAGGTTATGGTGGTTCTCTCGCAGCCCATTATCTCCATTCGCCTGAAGAAATCCAATCCCTTTTCCAGGTCGCCAATTTTGGAAAACCCTAAGATCATGAGGTTCCAGGCGATGGCCTCCCTATGGGGCATTTCGTCGAACAGCTTCAGGGCCTCCGCCATCCTCCCGCATTGGACGAGCAGCTCCAGGAGCCCGATACGGACCGGCCCGAACCTCTGGTACCCGAGGGCTAGGGTCTCCTTGTGGACTCCTAGCCCGAGGCTGAGATGGCGGAGATTGGCGCAGGCTTTGAGGAGGGAGGCTAAGGTGAACTCATCGGGGCGGATCCCGCGCCTCTTCATGATTGAGTAGGCGGCGATGGAGTCCAGGAAGGGCCCGCGGAGGGAGTGGCCCCTAACGACGGCGTTGAAGAGGAGGATGTTGGGGCTGGGAGACTGCCGGAAAACGCGGGCGGCGTACGGCATACGGTCGAGGGAGGCGCACACGGAGACGAAGTGTGAGAGGAGCTGGTTGGAGTGTTGG